CCTGCTATATAGGCTACCTGGGGCACTGACAAAATCACTGTATTTCTTGGAGAAAAATACTGATTTTGAAAAACTGAATATGTTGTTCTAACCCATGATATTGGCTCTGTATTTCTGCATATACAAAAATATATTTATACTTGTACTATTTATCTAGTTGCTTTTCCACACTAGATTGAGGCATACAGACAAAGTGAGCTTGAGCATTTTAGTACTACACAAATATATGATTTTATATATTTAAAGGTTTATTGAAGTACAAACCCACTCAATTCTTGAACGTGGTCAAAAGGGCATCACAGCATTTCAGAGATGAGTAAAGATATTTCCATGTCTAAATGGAATTTTGGAACGGTATAGTCTAGTAAAGGTAGAAAGTGTTTATGCTTGTGTTTCCAGTTCTTGACTGCAGTAAAAAGAATAGCTGACAATAGATATTTTCTCAGACAAAGGCTGCCTCTTTGCTATCGCTGTGAACTAGGAAGAATTTTAGATACTGTGTTTTGTGAGCTTTCCCTATAAATTTAGCACGGTGAGTTTCCCGCTCAAGATTGTACCCTAAGGCTTCAGCTTCATATGCTTATTCAAATTTGCCAGCCTCCATGTAACGGTTAGTCAGCAGCACTACTTTGGTACTTGTCCTTTGCTCTCAGGAAAGCAAAGTGCTTTGTGTCTGTCAGTCATTCAGGTTCACTTTATACGCTACAGGAATTCAGGATGAAAAAAAAGTTTTAGCCTAGAAAAGCAGAGGATTTTTGTAATTGAATTGGAAGCAGAAAAGAAATTGCAAGTATAAGTATACCTGATATTAGTCTCCTGTCAGAGCTGTTATTTAAGTGTTCTCAGATAAATGCAATAGCTAAGAGTCAAGCCCAAAGAACTCTAATCTCTAGAATGCTGTCATTTAGATTAAGACCAAATTCAAGATCACTTTTGTCCCCCGTTACTGAGATTCTACTAAAATTATTTAGATCTATAAAGTAGCTCTTTGGAAACTGCACTCTTTTTTCCTTTCCTCACTTCCCTTCCTTCCCTGTGAAATTAAGGAAATTTATTGTATCTAAATATCTGACTGGTTCTAGATGCTTTGGAGAAAGCAAGGGAAACATTGTTCAAGATTCTGTCCTGGAATCTATAAGGCTTTTCTGACATACTCATTTCTCACAGGATGTGAACCCTTCTCAAGAAATGCATCAAATTGCCTTCCCTGTGGCTTCTTTTCTGAGGCAGCACTGACTTGTATTAGGAAGATTTTTTTGGGTTCATAAAAATTCACAACTTGCACGTTGTGTCCCACATTATCAGTGTAATGTTGGAACAATCTCACAATTCAAGACAGATTGAGTGAGCTTTTTTCTTTTTATTTGCATCTTTTTTTAGCTCCGGAGACATACTTCTGGCTCCTCAGGGATGGTGTCAGCTAATCTACATTCCTATCAAAAGAGGTCTTTGTTGGAAATACCTGACAGTGGGCTGGGTGAGGAACAGAGTGCAAGCATCTCTCCCTCTAATGGACTAGATAGAACAACAACCACACTATACAATCATTTCACATCAAAGAATGATGAAAACAGGTAAACTGAATAATCATAGAGTATTTATGAACTTTGTATTAGATTGGTACAAGTCTCTGCCTTAAGAAAAAAAAATTGAAATTTGTATATACACAGAAGTCTTTGTGACTACTTTATTCCTTCCTTGTGGTTTTGGTTACTTTTAGTTGTCTTGATGGGTAGGTCTCTATCTTCTGCACTATCTTTAAATCTTCCCCTCTATGTGCACAAGCAAATTGTAGCTGCATCCAAAGTACTGAAACAGTGATTATCAGTGTATGACAGTTACTGATAACTAAACTATTGGTTTAAAACCAGTGTGGTTTATTGCAGTAAAAGAAGTGTTTGAGTACGTATGTGGTCATTTTGGGGAGGTTTATGTATCACCAGTGTTTGTATGTTCTGTATCTTTCAGATCATTTGAAGGTACGCTGTACAAAAGAGGAGCTTTACTTAAAGGTTGGAAACCTCGCTGGTTTGTGCTGGATGTGACAAAACACCAGGTAAAACCTTTTCAGATAATGGATTTTTTTAAAACTACTCTTTTGCTGTGCTTTTTTTACTGGGTTTGTAGAGACTGATTTTACAGAAAATACTAATAAAGATTATTTTCAGGTGTGACATGTGTTACATCATTATCAACCATATATCTGTTTATCTTCTGTATCTTGTAGCTGATACAGCATTCTGAATGGACAGAGGTTTTTTAGAATTTTGTTTTTGTTTAAAACCGTGATAACTGTTTAGCATATAATCATAAAAGACTTCTTGGACTGGAAGGCATGCATTATTGTTTGCACACAAACATTGTTTCCCTGCTTCATACTTCAGGAAGAAAAAGCCAGGTAGTGCCTGGGCATTTTCTGGGCATTGTGGCATGCAAGTAATACAAGCAATTTTTTAAAGCACTGTTAAGTTTACAGTGGAATTAAACAAGTAAGTGGTGAGCATAATTTGCCATTTAATGTGACCTCTTTAGTTTCCAGAACTAAAAACTGTTTCTGAACTAGAGAGTGAAGAACTTAGAAGGTATTTCCTATACAGTATAATTTGGATGCTGAGAACTAATATGGTAACTGATAGCGGGTTTTATCCAGGTATTCATGCTGAAGCTGTGTGCTTCAACAGGGTCTAACTTACAGCCTCTCTGTTCCTCAAGCACTTTGCAATGAGCACTTTTCTTTGCAAATAAAAGGGTATTATGTACTCAGGAAAATTATCATCTTAATTGCTTCACTTCATTTACCTCACTGGACCTTTTAGTGTTTTTCTGTAACATGTATTTGAGAAAGCTGACCTGGTATGTTTGTATGGAAGTATTTTCAAATATGGAGAACAGGATCACATTAGTTTGAATTTTTAAAGTTACTTAAAATGAGTTAATATTTCATTTCAAATATGTATTCCTAGAAGTCCTGAAACGCCAAGTTCCCGGTTGAATAATAATTTCAGGTGCTATATCCAAGAGTATTTTTGATTAGTCATAGTGATGTAAATATAGTAGTAAAATTATCCATAAATATTCTGACAAATCACTGTACAGCAAGGAGAACTAAAATCAGAGGAGTTCAGTTGTTCTAAACATTTTACCCAAATTACAACATATGCCGGAATTCAGCAGTGGCAATTTGTGGTCTCACATACTTTAAATAATGTTGGAGCATTAGGCAGTAATCTTCATTGAGCCAAATATTCCACACAGTGTGGGTTTTAACCTCTCAGACTCCTGCATGCTTTTGGTTTAAAATAAATTGTAGTCAGTGCACTTTAAAAATATGTAATATAGATAAAGACAGCCATCTTCTAAAATGCTAATTGAGGATTTCTAGGTTACTGTGGTAAAACACCAGCAAATGTGCTGATTATAATTATTCGTCCTGATCTACAGGAGAAAAGGTTCGTTTTGCAGAAGACAAAAAATACTTTTACATTTTTTGTATAACCAAATATCCTCCTGAGTATCATAGATGTAGGAGCAATGCAGATCAATCTTAGTTGGTATTCCGTTGTTTCACCTTTGCTGTGAAGGTTGGCTTTACTATTTTGCGTTGTTTTATGGGATTTTAAAAATTATTTATTTTTAAGCAAGTGTCAGATTTTCTCTTCTGGAATTTGTTTGTGCATTGAAACTCAATTTACAGAGTGGTTAACATTCATATCAAAGTATCTTTGCAAGGAGGAAAAAAAAAATAGCAGACTTCATTCAACCACTAAGTGCAGTACAGGAAAATGTGAGTTTTCTATGTAGTTTATAATTATCTAAAATTATACTTAATTTTTCGCTGATTATTTTAAATTCTTGAAGTATAGAGAATAAGCGTTCTAATAACTCCTTGGTGGAGTAAAGCTTTTGTGTTAGTTTCAATGTAATGAACACTGAAGAGGTGGTTTCTACAAGAAAAACTGGTAAGGAATGCCAAATCCTAAACACCAGGTTCTGCTTTTCTTCACATGTCCTCTGCCCAGAAGCAATGCATGACTATTTGAAGCTTCTTTGCTTTGAAACTCTGGTGACAAAATGCTCCTCCCCCAACTCCATGTCTGCCCAGGAGTATGGGTGGTGGAGACTTTGCTGTTACCCAGAGATGTCAAATAGAGAACTGGCCAGTTAAGGGCTATCCCTAGTCCCACCCTATGGATTTTGTCACTTGTGTCATAGAAGTTTCCTGTACCTGATATCCTCAATTCCTAATAATATTTGTACCTCCCACTCTTACCACTCCATGCCCCCAAGCTGTATCCAGGAAAAGGGAATAAGAAGTGGAAGATCCATATAAATAGCATGTTTTGATTTTTTTTTTCTCATTTGGTCTAGCTGCGATACTATGATTCTGGCGAGGATACAAGCTGTAAGGGACATATAGACCTTGCAGAAGTAGAAACTGTGATTCCTGCTTCTCCAACAATTGGAGCCCCAAAACATGCAAGTGAAAAAGCATTTTTTGACGTAAGTATATCTGATCTTTAACTGATCTTTATGTGAAACTTTCTTTTCTCGTGTTTAACCTACTATTTTCAGTCCTGCTGCAAGGTGTGAGCTGGGAAGGAGCTGTCATGCCAACTCAAGACAAAGTTTTTACACAGCTGGGATCTAGCCCTCACACTCAACAGCAGAAGTTCAAAAAATGTTACATTCAGAGTCAGTTAGTACGTGGAGTGTTATAATTTAAAGTTTGCAAGTTTCTTTTCTGTTTAGTGTGTTGACTTGTCTGTCTTCATGTTCTTATTTTTCCCTTGCAGTTGAAGACAAATAAACGTGTATATAATTTTTGTGCCCAGGATGCACAGAGTGCTCAACAGTGGATGGATAGGATCCAGAGTTGCATTTCAGATGCTTAGAAAGGAAAGACGTTCCATAATAAAGACAAGTTTAAAGCACCTCTTCCTGTATGAAGCTAAGTTCTGAAATGTTACTGAAAGACAACCAGCCTTCCTTACATTTCAGCCATAAAAGCTCATAATATGCTAAATTTCCTTTTCTGTTTCATAACCACTGTAACTGCTTTTTTTTTCTGCAGGGACAACTTTGAAAAATAATAATCCATTTATCCCTATTGTCCACTTTTTTCAGTGCAGTTCCTAGCTATAAAAGGGGGATGCATTTGCACTGCCATCTAAATCCTGGGTTTCTCATTTCAGAGCTATTCTGATAAGAAACCTGTCCAAAGGAAATTGTGGACATTTTCCCTCCAGTGGGAAGTGTATTTTGACTTTATTTGTACTTTTAAGCAGAATGTTCTTCTTTCCAAGATAATCATGAATAAGAGGGAGCATGTCTACAATTCCTTAACAATAAATAAATAAATTATGCTTCTGAGTCCAGTAACATATATATATATCAGATTGCCAATGTTCATAGACCATTGATATTTTTAAAGACCAAAAAGTGCAATTGCCTGATACCAGACTTTCAAGTGTCTTCTCAGTGTGCAAGTTATTCCCTACTCTTGTGCTCTGCTGAGTGCTTCTGCAATGTTGTAACAGAATTTCAAATTCTAGGGATTATCTGAAGTTTATAGCACTTTTATTTTAGATTCTGTTAGCAATTACAATGGGATAAATGAAAGGAAACTGGCTGACACTGTCCAGGGGAAAGAAAAAACAACAAACTAGGAATTCAGTAAAAGAAAGATCTTTTATGTGTGAGATATATATGTTAATTTATATGCTGTTCTGCTCACTGTAAAATAAAAAATAACAAACATGATAATGCACTAAACAATGAAGCAAGCACTTGCACTGAAATCTTTAAAATGCAGACATTTTGCAGGACAGAGGTAAGTTATTTATAGCAGAACGATACTAGCTAATTAACAACATTTACAGATATTAAATATGTACATAATCAAGTTTGATGTGTTGTGATTTGATATTTTTTAAACATTTTTTGCACATGAATTGGAAGACTGTTTATAGATTTTTACATTTGATAAAATTGTGTTTGTGCAGCTTAAAATCCTGGTGAAACATTTTTAATAGCCCCAAATCAGTAGAAATTTTACAGTCTACAAATATTGATGACATTGAGTAGGATATGTAGGTAATTATGCCATTGTTTTTATTTTGAAATGTTAATATGTTAACTAGCACACTAATATTGCAAAAGTTTTGTATATATGATTCACTATTTTCTCATTTTTTCTGGACATTCTGCTTGTAATTTAATGTCAGCCTAACCAAACTGACTATACTTCTGAGATTTTTCAGTTATTAAATTGTGGTTTTTTTATAACTAATGTATTTTGTCAAAAAAGAGCGTAAATTTCTCACCACACACAATAGGAAATGGAGCTGGTTTTAATGCATTTGCAAGTTCAAAACAAAAATATGAAGGATTTTTTTCTAGCATTTTTCAACTGACAGATTTCCACCTGTGACAATGGTGTTTGCACATTTGTATTTTTCTTTGTATATGAAGTACTTTTATATGTACTTTGTAAAATACTGATCCTGTTCTTAGGTTATATGAGAATATACATACCAGTGCTTATTTTGTAACTAGTTAATTTTAACTCTTGTATGTTATGTGATATATGTTTGTTAACCATCTTGTAATAAATACACTTCTTAAGGTAAAGTAAAACCTTTCCTTTTACTGCAAAAGAGAAAAAAGCAAGACCCACACGTTGAAATATTTCCACGGGCGCAAGACAAATCATTGTTTACTCTCTATTAAGAACAGTGGGTGTATTAAAAACTATGTGGTCCTTTGTATACTTGTAAATATTCTTACTTAAAAGTTGCACTTGAGCATCCTTAACTGAAATACTTGGCAACAGTAACACTAAAGACTAAAGAAATCAGAATTTAAAGCAAAATTATCATTCTAACAAGTCGCAATGTATAGCCTTTACTAAAAGGTTAAATACATATAATGTTCAAACTAAGTTGTTGAGTAATGATGTTAAATATATATTTTTGTTTTAATGTCCTATATGGTATCACAGCATAGATCAACGGCATACGTTCACCCTGAAATGTATTTCACTCATTTGTATCACCTTATCCAAAAATCATCTAGTTCATAAGAAATAAAATACAGAAATGACAAGGTCTTACTTGAGAATGTGCATCTGAATTGAATAACTGAGTGTAGTGTGGGATAGCAGAGTTAAAATGGGCAGGGAATGTGTGGCGGAGGTAGGGGACCTGTGACAATTCTTGGATGCTGTGGTGCTTAGATGATAAGGTTTGCATATTGAGCTTGGAATGGATGCTAATGTTGCCTTAAATGTTGATATTAATTTTTTTAGTGTCTGTATTGATGGAAAATGGAACTTGAGCAACTTAACTTAAAAATATCCAAATAAAAGCTGAAATGACATATATGATATTTGTGGTGTTTATATAAGGAATATACTAAAGAATGGTAGGCATAGGCTTTTGGTGTGAAGACCGGTTTGCAGTGTCCCTGAGGGTGTAGGTTCAAACAGAGACATAGAGAAAATGTGGAGAAGTTAGCATAGAATATGCTACAGGGTTTATCAGTGCGTTTGGATTGTAGCAGCAGAAGCAGAGAATTAGGAACAGTGAACTTGCTTGGGAAAAATTCTGTGTACAAAGGGATCCGTCTTCACATGCCATGAAAAATGTTCAGAAGAAAAGAACCCATCTAGGAGCTGGGGATAAGGTAAACACGTGCTCTCTCTGGTATGTTGTATTGCTATTCCCATACTGTGTATCATAACCTTCCTGCTGTAGAAAAGAGAATTATCAGGCACTTTACATAAGGGAAGAAGATTGCTTGCCCTTCTCTGTGTTGAGTAACAAAATACCTGTATAATTGGTGGTGGAATGAACTGGGTTTGTTTTGAAGAGTTGTTATTGGTGGTACTAGTTGTTACTATTGTATTAGTAGTTTCTCTTTCATATTTAACATAAAAGTATTTTCTATAAAAGTCCTTATTTTTGATGGAACTTTTGAATAAGTATACTAAATAATAAAATACCTAGCATGCCACATGCGTGGGTCAGTGGTTATGTAATAATACACAAACAGCTAACAGACCCAGGAACGAATGTTCAGAATTTTGTATCACATCCCACACACATTATTTGTATTTGATATCTTGTAAATTGCAGACATAACAAAAATGTGATCATGTCCAAATACTGTCATTTTGCCTTTTCATCCTGTAATATTCCTCAGAGGATGTCTTAAGTAGCTGCACCACATTTCTTATTTTTCATATTTGTGATCATCCAAATATTTTGTCTGTTCGTGATTATCTTGCGGTTGCTTTGGGGAGTCAGAAAACTGACATGAATCCACCAGTTCCAGTTATGCTAAAGTTCATGCTGCGTATCGCTGTCGCACCTACTTTTTGGGGGGTTTTGCTGTGTTCAATCAGTTTCTTCCCAAATTTTGGCTACTTTGAAAGCCAAGGGTATTATTAGCATCCACATTCTCATTTAGGGAATTTTCATCTGGGTTTTTTCACATACAGCTTTTTCCTAACTGACTGTCAAACAAGGATGCTGCAAGTTCACTATTGTGTCCTCTCTTTACTGATTAGTCCAGCTAGCCTCCCAAAGGAGCAGGTTTCTAATGCAAATAGTGTTGATAAGAATGGAGTTTGTGTTAATTTTTACATCAGACAAAATCTCCAAAGACTGAAGTTACCTTTTTAAATTTTTCTGCTGTAGACCTTTCTAGTCTAAACTGATAAAACTTTTCACCAAAAGGGACTCTTCAGTTCTTTATCTTTTATTCACTGCTCTTTAAAATTGTGTAATCAATAAAGTGCAAATTAATAGCAGATTAATTAATTGCAATCAACTATGGCTACTGTCTTTATCCACAGTCACACTCCAGAAATTAAAACTCGAATACTAAATTCCCCTCTTAGTGCTGACAGTTAAGAATGTTTCTTCTTCATCATAAGACTGCCCGTCAAGAGCTGAAGGGACTGACCACTGATGTCATTACCAGTTTAGCAAGCAGCTATGAAATAAACACAGCTTTTAAGGAGATGAGATTGTCATAATGCTCACCTGAGTCGTTGCTGAGAAGACAGAGTCTTTCTTAAACTGAGATACTTGACTTCAGATGTGGACTCCATATGTTACTCCTAGAAAGTTCTCAAAACAGTCTTGAAAAAATCTGAATCAATCTTAAAAAAAAAATGAATGTTTTTTATAAACAAATAAATTATGTTTATACCTTGATCTCTGTGCAGACTCTACAAATTAGGAGATGTGCTAGTGACAGCTGAATTATAATTCCAGATTGCTAGTCATATCTAGCCAAAATACTGTTTTATTTATCTTTTTCATGGTGGTCTAATCTGCTCTAATCTAACCTCTACTTCACTAAAATAGAGCTTGTCAACATCTAATGGGATATTTGATTTAGTCCAGTTTCAGATTGCACCATATAGTTCGAGATTCTTCCTTTCTTTTCCAATTTTGTTTACACGTCAGAATTTGCACATTTATGAATATGAAATGGTGCAATGGTGTGGCAAGTTTATTATTGCTGTTTTCCATTGTCTACTCTTTGTTAAAGATGTTTTGTTGATGTGTCTTCTAGGAAATGTGTAGGGTGTATACTTTTATTTGTAAAATAAGCAATAACAGAGGATGGAAATATGCTAAAAGGACCACAGTATTATCCTGGAAGGGAACACAAAGGTAGCAGTTGTTCCAGGTACTGAATGGTACTCCTTCCTGCCTCTCTTACTCACCTAGAAGAACCTGAGGCATAGTCTTGGTTTTCCATAAAATCTGGCTTGTTAATGACTTATGTGTCAATGTATATTGACAAAATAACAATGTATATATTGTTTAATGAGTTTCTCTCGCTGTTTTAAGTCAGTAAGAGTTCTTGTATTTCAAACCCACTCAGCCTGTCACCAGACAAGACCTGCAAAATTTGTAACGTCCATTTCTTTGTATTAAAAGTCTCCATTAATTGTCCAAAATTCATATTAGGTACAACATCCCTGTTTAGCGATGGACAGATGTGACTGCTTTGAATTTAACACCAAACAAGAGTGTTCTGTGCAAATGCTTTCTCAATAAGGATAAATTATCAGGTAGCTAAAGAAATGAGCATCAGACTGGCAGTCATGAGAGCTCTGCCAGGTTACAGTGGCTGTGGACCATCTTCATTAGTAATGCCAGTGAGTTAAAAATTCTGTGTGCTTCAAGACCTCCAGTAAATTCAAAATGATAACTTCATAAAATTGTGTACAATTATGAATTGAGCTCAATGTAATAAGCTACAGTGCAGGTAGTGTCACTCTCATGTTTATATATTTAACATGTTCAAGTTTTGCATATATT